GGGGCGATCGGCCTTCTGAATCCCAAGTCCTGTAGTAGAGATGGTCCATGACTTAATGATGGTTTGGCTTTAAGACAGTGAGAAAGCGACACGCATTCCGCACACGACCCACACAACCACTGGTTTTCACTTTCAACGCACTAGTGCCTTAGTTACATGACCTCTCCAGTACTTAATTATGAAACAGGCTTTGTGTTGGCCGATTCGCCCAACCATAGGCTAACGGAGGCGTTGTGAGCACGCCGAACGCAGGCCAGGCTAAGCTAGGACGTTCCGTAGGTTGGTTGCATTAAATGCATTTTTGACTCACAATATTTTCAACTGACGTTGGGTTTATCCAGCTGTTACCCCATCGCAAAATTATTACACATAATCTACAAAGAAGACAAGTGTCAGAGAGACGGAGAACCCAATTCCGCTTCATCATCCCGCTCAGCTCCCATACCCAGACGGTGAGATCTGCTTCCCTCGACCACACAGGGCACACAGTGGGCCTCAAAGCATGGTGGGGCCATCATCACACCACTCCAAGGGCTTGGAGAAGACATCCTCCAACAGTTTCCAGTAAGAACCTTCCAGAGAGCAAAGAGGATGCGAAATTTGACAAGGGATCTGGGCTGGGGAGAAGGGACTTTTAGAATGTAAATGTAACTACAAACTAAGATACGACCGCACAGCCAGATGAGATAGTTAGGAGGAATGCGTTGAGGTGACTTAACAGGTGACGTGCCACCATGGGGGTGGCAGAGAGGCCGCAGACACGCACACCTCCTGAGCAGCCTCACGCAGAGGACAAGGTGACCGCAGGAAGACAGTACTGAGCCAGAGGCCACGTTTGCAAGGCCCTGCTGGGACGCACCGTGTCAACAATCCCAGGGAGACTGGCGTGATGTGAGTGTGGAAGTGGTTCCTGAGGTGCAGGGGAGATAGACCGGGAGCGTGGAGAGGCAGCCACAGACAGAAAGAGCCAATCATGACTCTACAGGAGGACTCATCGGCTGTCACAGAAGACACATAGAGACCAACAAAGACCAGACAAGCAAACTGAGACAGGTGGTTGGGCCGCAGACCTGGGTCTGTGGTCCAGAGAACCCATCACATGGCACCAGCTCGGGGGTACAGCAGCATCATTTTTCCCGGGGCAGTTCTGCCAAACGACGTCTGTGGCTCAGCCCCTGGCTGCTCTCTATAGAGCTGCAGTTCCCAAATGGTGTGCCAAGGCACCCCATGGCACTGCAGCAAATTCCCAGGGTGCCGCAGAATGTTTTCAAATATCCAGGGAGGCGCGGCCATCCCGTCAGCTCAGACACCTCCTGGCTCCAAGTAGTTGCGTTTCAGCTTGGATGGTGCTATATTCCTTTCAAAGATTTGTGAAGCGGGGTTTGGGGACTGTTGCTGTGATCGAAAGAAAGCAAGTACCTACTACGTGCCCATCAACACGGGATAGGAAGGTAAGGTATCACTTCCCGTGGGCAGATAACTGTGGTTATTTGAGAACAAAATAAAGTATTATTTATTTCTCTGAACTGATGTGAATTATTTTGTTTCAAATAGCTACTAATTATTAAGTCATTTGGACCTAATTACTTAATGAACAAAGCTGTTAGGTATTTCTTTTAGCCTGAGGCACTGCAGAAAAATGACGGCACAGAGGGAAAGTTGGGGACCCTCTATCTTTGACCTCAAAGGACCCTGTGGAGAAAGTGTCGGCAGAGTGGCCCCCACATGACAGGTCAGGGAAGCTTCCAGAAAGAACTAAACACCCAACAGACTGGAGGGTGGGGGTGGAGGTAGAGGCGGCACTTCCTCTTCTGACCCTAAACCCCACCTGTCCTTGTCACTCCCCCCTGTGGATGGGTTACATCTGAAATCCAGCCTGCCCCGCCCAGATCAGGGATTCAAACCCCGCTGTGGACGAGGAACTCCCCACGCACAAAGCAAACTGCCCATCAGAGATGCCTCCCTCCCCCCACCTCAAAGTGGCATCTGCCAAAGCTCCTGGGGCAAGCAGGGCCTTCTTTCTCTTGGGGGTTTATTCTGGAAAGAACACCCCTACCCCCCGGGGCCTCCAGCAGCAGAAGACAGTGAGGCAGCAGTGTTGTTTTCTCCAGGATCACCCATAAATAGAGTTTTGTTTCATCAAAGTCATGGCTGATCCCTCGAGGCTCAGCTCCAAAGCCGCTCCCTCCTTCAAGTCTTCTCAAATGCCCCCCTTTTGTTCCCAGAAGCTCCTTCCCCGTGCCAGCTTCCGAAGTCTCACCCACCACCCCGTCCTGCCCTGTCAGATCCACCTCTGTGTCTGGCTGGCCAATGGGAAGGTCCGTGGGAACAGAGCTGGGTCACCCTTGCCTTCAGCATACTTACCAAGCGCCACCACCCCCCGTGCCTGCCAGCGTGACGAGGGCACAGACACCATCCTGTGCCCAGCTGTATGGTCTGGTAGGGGACGCTGACCACTCCAGGCCAGTCATAGACAGTTCCCTCTGTGCGACAGCAGAGGGCGTTCCCAGGGAGGCCCCCTCGCTCAGCTGCACCGTCGGGGAGGGACCTGCAGCATCTTTGGCAGCGCCACCTGCTCCAGGGCTGGACTCTATCTGGAAGCCAGGTTGCAGGACTTCAAGCTGCAAGGTAGGGAGCAGGAAAGAGTCCCGCATGCTTGGGTTCCATAGAAACCTGCCTCTCCTGCAGTCCTCTACACCGACGGGGATGGCCCCGGCTCCCACACACTCCAGGGCTCCTGGGGAAGCCCAGCTGAGCCAGGACAGAATGGCTGCCATTGCCCTGTCCAATCAGACTCCAGGGGCTTAAATGGGACCCAGAAAACAGGAGCAGGATCCCCGCTCTTGCACATCTTGGTGGTTGCCCACAACCTCCCTGTGAGCCTGCTCCAGGGTCCTGCCTCCCATTTGGGGAAGTCCCTGTCCTGCTCCACCGCCTCTCTGCTGTCTACTCCACCGCACCCCAGCCCCACTCGGGGCCAAGGCTCTCGCAAAGACCGCAGGGGGTGAAGGGAGATTCTCCACATGGCACGTGTGCTGTGGAAACAGCCGGCTGCGGGGAAGCCCCCAGCCCAGTACCACCAGCCCTGGCTCCCCCCACGTTACTGTCCTGAAGGCATGTTTGATGATTCAGGTCTTCAGAGAAGGGAGCCCTCACTGCGAGCCGGTGACCAGGGCGGGGCTAAGTTCTCACCTGGGCCCTGCCCTTAGAGGGGGACCTTCAGTTCCCGGCTCCTCCCTTTACCTTCTGTGACATGGGGTGGCTGCCTGCTCGTGGCATGCCCTTCACACCCTCCAGTTAGCATGGGCAGAGGGCGTGGGACCTAATGGGGGAGGAGAAGCAGCAAAGAGGACAGAAGGGGCTTGGCGGGTGAAGGGCAGGAGAGAAGGACAGAGAAGACAGTGCCACCTGCCCCGTTGGGTGGGATGGCTGCAGAGGCTCATCGCAGCAGCACCGGGCTCGTCCTGCAGGTGGGCACGGACACCCTCCTTCGTGCCTCCACAGCCAGCGGCCTCTGGGAAGCTCCCCATCCCAGCTCTAATCCCGGGCCCCAGAGCTGGGGAGGCGGAGGCAGGGGGGCCTGCTCCTCGGGCTAGAGCCCCCACCCCACCCCACCCCACAGCCCAGGTTCCCCAGTAATGCGATAATTGGGTGGGATTTTCAGTGAGAGAGAGGGAAAGTCCAGAGAAGGATGAGCCGGCTCCCTTCCCTCCCTCCCCACCCCAGTCTGCTTCCAGAATGCTTCTCTCCTTCCCTGCGAGGGTGAGGGGCGTGCTGTGACTCAGAGGGGGGAGACGGGCTGGGCATGCGCACACTCAACTGGATCTGGATTCCAACGATGGGGTGGAGAAAGGGAAGGGACTCCTGGCACAGCCGCCAGGTGACCCCTGGGACGGGTGTCCACAGGACCACGGTGTCCCCAACTCCAGGCTTCCTTTGCAGACATGGAAACCAAGGTTGGGGTGGGGGCGACCCGCCGCTGATTCTCCAGCCAGTGCTAAACCTGAAAGGATGGCACAGCCGCCCTCTGCCCTGAGAAACTGCACAGAAATGGCCATGTGCCCGTCCTGTGGCCTCTCCGTGGGACACACACACTCTGCAGGCCACATAGGGAGGCAAGGCTCCGGGCTCTGGGGAGTGGACGGTCCACCCAAGAAGAGAAGTTGTCATTTCTAACTGCAGTTCTGCTCTCGGTAGCTCCTCCAAGCCTCTTTCCTCAGTTCCAAAAAACCCAAAAACGAAAAAACAAAACAAAACAAAAAACGGTGACAAGAATTCCTGCTGAGCTTGTGTCGCGGCGTCTCTGTGATGCGGACCAGCCACCTGTGCGGAGGGTGCCTCTTCACTGTTATTGCTGTCAGCGCCCTGGGGGAGCTGGGAACAATTTCCGACTTAGATCTTCCCCTCCCCAAATTACAAAACTCCCCAGGCGTCTCCCAGGGCTACAAATGAATATGGGACTGGCCCCAGCAGAGCTGCCTGCCACGGACTGAGAGCTGGGAAACTGGCCAGTGACTGTGTGTGACCTTGGACAAGTCACTTTCCCTCTCTGGTCTTGCCCTCTCTGTCAGCATGTGATGATACGGCTTACCTGCGCTGTGAGAAACCCCCCTAGCTGGAGACACTAGGCAGCCCTGGGCAGACCGGAGCTCGGTGGTCCCAGAGCTAGGGCGAGTGGCTCACTTTCTCCACCCCTCCCCCCAGCAGCAGGGCCTTCCGCGTTCTCTTCCCTGGTGGGGCGTGCAGGGAGAGGAGGGAAGGGTCAATTCTTGCACCCCCGAAGACTGTCCCCAAACGTGACCTGCTGACGCGTAGCTGCACCTTGGACGCCCACCCAGTCGCTGTCCCCAGGGCAGACCTCGCCCTTGCCGGCCCCTCTCCGCCCACCGAGACGCGCCCAGGTCCCACAGGTGGGGGGTCGGGCCACAGGCAGACTTGCTAGGCTCGAGGTCGGCCCGAGGTACCGCCCCAGACAAGCGTTCCCCCGGGCAGAGTGATGGATGACGGGGGAGCCGCAGCCCAGACACACTGAGGGCAAGAGACAGCGCGCTACAGAGCAAGAACAGGAGCAGAAGCGGACTGTGCGTCCCACGGCGAGCAGCGGGCGCGGGCGCTCCAAACCCAGCGCGCGTCCCCNCTGTGCGGGCGCGGGGTCCCCAGGGCCCTCTCGGAGAGCCCCCCGCCCGGGTGTGCCTGGCAAGGAGTTGGGAGGGGCTGCTGGGGAGAGAGGTGAGGATGGAGCACAGCATCGGGTTTGTGGCTTCCGAGTGAGGGTTTCCAGGACCCCGCGCCAGACAGGGCCGCGCTGCGTCCTCCACCCCAGACGAGGCGAACTGCGGGGACACCTTCCTCAGTCTGGAAAACCAAAGGACGTGTCCTAAGGGGCTGGCTCTCAGGCCTTCCGCCTCCACTGCACGTATCCCGGGGGAAGAGGTAATCCAGGCGACTGCTCCTGCGCGACACGCAATTCCGTAGAACCCCCACAGGCAAGGGTCACTGCAGCCCCAGAGCCAGGGCACCCCGAGACGCCCGAGATGTGACGAACACAGTGGGACGAACGTGGGCGCCGAGGGGCCCGGGGGCGCCGCCGGTGGAGACCCAGAGTTGGAGAGAAGCCTCCCCGCAAATATGCACCCCCCCGACCCTCTCCGACGGCTCGCCTGGAATTATAATAATTACGCCGAGGGAAAGGAGGGCGACTGAGCAAGCCGAGGTACATCTAATCCGATAATAATTTTTCTCTTCGTGATGGTTCAGGAGCGGGGGCGCCTGGGAGGGGCCGTGGGACGGGGCGCGGCCGGGCGTGACGGGCAGCCCTGGGCCGGAGGAAGACTTTGCGAGACGCTGCGAGGCGGCGGGAAC